TTGATTAATTTATACACACCGATATCGCATTTGTAAATATTAATTTTTATTACTTTTGTTGTAAGGAACTAGAGGTGTAAATTAAGTTTTGTTTATTTATTTCTATTTTAGATGTAGACTTTATGTGTATAAGAACATTTGTATTAAGTGTAAACGATCATATGCTCATGATATTTTATACCTATTTAACGAGAATATATGTTCGCATCTTAAATACTACGTTTTTTATTTCTGCAGTCCTGTCCTGAATTTTTTTTTAAGTGAATTCGATTAGCTTAAGAGATGAAATGAAATAAAATTGTGCAATTTTAGTTTAATTAGGTAATTTAGTGCGTGCTAATAACTAAGTATTGCCGATATCTACGGTTTCCAAGCGGGCTTCGTCAATAGCGCTTTTTCAACAGCTTTAAATTTATTTGCGTTGCAGTTGCGAAAACTTCCAGTTCTTGAAGTTGAGGCTGATCCATTGTGCTGCACACGTTTGTCGACAATTCGTATCTGACTCCATTGATTAATAAGTTCTTGAAGCTGTTTCTTTGTGTAATTCTGTTGTTCTAGCAGACTGAGAGAGTGTCTTCGGTACGGGTGATCGACGAAAAAAAAGTTTCTTGTCATAGTGGAGATTATTAACGGCTGATGGGAGAATGTCGATCTTATGCTGATTAGGGTGATGATGTTTTCTTGAGCTCCACATTCTTCGATATTTCTCTTGAGGGCTTTCAGCAAATCCGCAGTCGAATCTGAAGAAATAGTTCGCAGCTTGATTTTTTTTCAGCTTTTGTTCACTAATCGTGTTTTTTCACCATTTGTTTTCTGCTTTTTAACCATCACGTTAGTTTTAAAATGCCGAGTTTCGCAAAGACGCCTTCAATTCGTTCTGATTTATTTTATCAAGTTTCAATTGAATGTCTTTTATTGATTTTTATCTGAAAATCTGTTTTGGTTGGAAATTGTGCGTTAATTTTTCGTGCATATCCTGCAAACAGTGTGTTTTTGAAATC